AAATATGGATGTATCAAAACCCCAGATTAATTTGATGAATGAAATCTTACTGACAAACATGGACTATGCGAGTTACTCACTAAAGGTGGGACATTTTTGTCAATTGTGTACTAGCTAAAGTACATCTTTTCAAGCACCTCTTACTAAATCTTTCTAAAAAAAAGTGCAATTTAACCTTACATATAAAAGAGAGATATTTATCCAAAGTTCTTTCCTTTCACTGTTTGAAATAACGCCTCCAGCTACCTGCATTTGGTAGGATCTTTGCTGATCAGTCTAGATTTCTATGTTGTGTTTTGTAGACTGTTGTTTGTCATGTTTTTGTCGTCTTTTTGGGGCATGGCTTTGTCAGCTTGTCTCCGAATTATGAGTTTGAATATGCCTTTAGTATCTCTCACCTCTGTTTTACTTGAAATCTACCATTTGCAAAGAATTGTTTTTCTTTTTCTTTTTATTGTGATTAAGATTATAACACAATGTTGACTGCTGTACCCCAATTTTGACATTTTTATCAATTGTGTCCGTTTGTTTTGTGCACACATTGTTGTCAATACAAAGGAATTTTATGCGACTATCATACAAGTGAGTGGTTTAGCTAGCTATAACAAGAGGCTCTCAAACTAGATGAACAAATTGTGAAAAAGGCAATAACTCTTTAAGGGGTCAATTGGCAATTTTGGTTATACCTGAGACTACTATAACACATGTGTTATAGGTTTTATAGTAGTCTCAGGTTATACAGAAACTTATTTGTAGATCTTACTTTGCTGAACATTTTTGCTGTCTACAGTTTATCTTTATCTATAATAATATTCAAGATAATAACCGAAAACAGCAAAATTTCCTTAAAATCATGAATACAGGGGCATTAACCTAAAAATCAGATACCTGATTTGGCTGATAATTTCAGGGCAGGTAGACCTTGACCTAATGAATACTTTAACTTCTTGTCTGATTTGCTCTAAATGCTTTAGTTTTTGAGATACAAGTCAAAAACAGTATTTTACCCTATGTTCTATTTTTAGCCATGGCGGCCATGTTTCTGATGAAACACAAAATAAAACACAAACTGTTATCCAGAAGAACCATTCAGCTTAAGTTTGGTTTAATTTGGTGAAGTAGTTTCAGAGAAGTTTTTTGAAAATTAGAAAACATGATAGACAAATCGTGTAAAATTGTCTTTAAAGGGCAACAAGTCCTTAAGGGGTCAATTGACATTTTTTGGTCAAATAAAAACTTATTTGTAGATCTTACTTTGCTGAACATTTTTGCTGGTCACAGTTTATCTTTATCTATAATAATATTCAAGATAATTACTAAAAACTGCAAAATTTCCTTAAAATTACCAATTTAGTGGCAGCTACCCAATAATGGGTTGTTAGATTCAGATTCAGGGCTGATAGAACTTGACCTAATGAACATTGTTACCCCTGTAAGATTTGCTAAGATTTGTAAGATAAGCAAAAAACTGCATTTTACCACTATGTTCTACTTTTAGCCATGGCGGACATGTTTTTTTTGACGAAACAGAAAATAAAACTAAAAACTTTATATTCTACATACCCTAAGGATCATTCAACTTATGTTTGGTTGGAATTAGTTTAGTAGTTTCAGAGAAGATGATGTTTGAAATAGTTTACACCGGACAGATGACGATGACGGACGACGACTGACGCCAAGCGGTGGCAAAAGCTCACTTTTCCTTTGGAAAGGTGAGCTAAAAATCAGGTTTAATCCATCATTTTTTACATAAGTAAATGCCTGTCCCAATTGAGGAATGTTTTTCATTGGTTTGATGTGCTTGAGCTTTGGATGTTTGCCATTTGATAAAGGGACTTTTCGATTTGAATTTTTCTTGGACTTCGTTTTTTTTTTTTTGCCTAAAATCACGTTCGCTCCAATTCTCGTTCGCCCTATTTCACGTTCACACCCTTTTAAAGGTTTTGTTGAATACGTTTTCAATCGTGCTTTACTTAGTGTATTGCTATATAATAAGAAAAATAGTTTTTTTTATTGTTTTATAATTAAATTAAGTGACATTCTAAAAACGTAAACCGGTTAATCATCTTTTGAGAATAATGTAGACAAAATGGATAATAAATGTTGTCATGTTGATCAAAGACTAATCATTCGTCACTAATACAAAAGATTCCAAACGGCTATCAAACTCGCCACAAACTGTTAAAAAAATAAATTCATTCTTTTTATTAAAAATCTTCATTGTTTTTTTTTCCTACCAAGCTAACTACTTGTATTTTACTTCACAATATATAACACATAACAATAATACCAAATTAGCTTTGTAAATACCACCTAACAGTTATTGGAGTTTTACTGTGCGTATTGCTGTGTGTTTGATTATACTACATTGGCTAGAGAGAGGGTTGAGATCTCACAAAACATGTTCAACCCCGCCGCATTTCGCGCCTGTCCCAAGTCAGGAGCCTCTGGCCTTTGTTAGTCTTGCATGTTTTTATAATTTTAGTTAATTTATATGATTTGGAGTTTAGTGTGATCGAGGTCCATTTTCACTGAACTAGTACACATTTTTGTTTAGGGTCCAGCTGAAGCCAGCCTCCTGGTGCGGATTTTCTCGCTGTGTTGAAGACCCTTTGATGGCATTGTGCTGTTTTCTGCTCTTTGGTCGGGTTGTTGTCTCTTTGACATAATCCCCATTTCCATTCTCAATTTTATCTTAAATAAACCAGCTTATCACCAAAACAAATATTTCATTTAACAAATTCACGAATCTATTCATGAACATATAAATATTTTGATATATACATATAAAAACATCTTCTTATTCAACCGGTATTTGAAATAAAAATATGGGCGAACGTGTAGGGCGCGAATGTGTAGGGTGCGAATATATTTTTGGAGTGAACGGACCCGATACCTATACGCTGCTTTTTGTGATAGGTTGGACTGTCAGGTTCACCGTGTCAATGTTGCTTTGATTTTTTGGCCAATCAAATAAGAACAAGAGCATTTATTTATATGTTTTTTTACATAAGGGTGGTAGAACTCATCAAAAGTGTTTTACATATATATATATATACAAGTAGAAGACACTACTTAAAACACAAATAGTGCTAAAATAACCACAACAAAAACAACAAAAACACAATGGTATGATGACATGTTAAATTTGTAAATCTGAATTTTGCAAGCTATATATAAAGTCACTAAATCTGGCTAAGAACTTCTATATACACATTTGTGATGATTGAATACAAGAAGAAACATATTACACATGAAATCAGATTATCATAATTGTTACAAAACCTTTTCTGACAATATTGTAGAATATATCAACATTCACATGTTCACCTATCACCAATAGAAATAGCTGAGAAATGAATGAACAAATAAGTTGAAGAAAATGAATAACTATACAAATATTGATATTGGTGATGAAATGAAAACTTACATTTTTTAGAACTGACAATTAGTAATGCCATTTAAATTTACTAACTCGACTCCTCTAAACAAAAACAAAAAACAACAAAAATGCAACACAGAAAAACAACTCATAAAAGATTCCAGACATATCATTGTGTACGCCATTGTGTGTTTCATTCACAAAAGAATCATCAGTGACACTCGATTTAAAACTTTTAAAGGCCAAATCAGGCTCACATTTTAAGTAAATTTAGGTATAGCACCAACAAACAAATTAAGAAATAATTCCTTCATGTCATGCTCTATGCTCATTTTACGCTAACAGCGAGGTGTAAAATATGGTCAAATATAATGCCTACCCATGTTAAAATAAGCATAAAGCATGACATGAAGGAATTATTTCGATTCTAATAGGACAAGTACAGTATTTTTATAGGTCGAGTGCAGTCTGTAAATTCAGTTTTAAAACTAAAAGCAGGACAAATATATGTTGTTTGATAAAAAATATATAATAAAAGTTTATGTTAGCTGCTAAAATGAATAAATTTCATTTGGATAATAATGAAAATAACGAGAATATTAACAGTAAGTTTAAGCGCATGTGTCAAACATATTTTGTGCTAATTAGAACAAGGCTTTGTTTACAAAGCGTAATACGGACGTCATATAATAATGGTGTAGAGGCATTTGCTTGGGTAGCTGAGGTCTACAAATGTTTTCAAATATTTGAAAAATATAATACAATCAAACAATTATCACTGATCTGTTTAGATTTAAAATCCTGTTTTTCTGATGGATGATAGAGAACAGATGCATTATGTCAAATACCCATTGTTAATATTATGTCATGTAGCAACAACTATATTTCATAATATCGTTGCATTTGTTTTCTTCAAAATTAAATTGATGGAGAGACTTTTTTATTTACAAATGAACATTGAAAAGTAGTTGTAGGGTAAACAGCATATACAACAAACCACTGCCAAACAGAAACAACACAACGACAAGATTCGGTCTCTGAATTAGTTATTTTATATGTGTATACTTTATTATTCATTAGACTTGAAATTCGGAACTTAATTGAATATTAAGGTAGAATTAAACGCTTTTAAGATCAAAATAATTGAAGAATTTTAGAAGCACAGGTTGATCTCTTCCTGACATCGAAATGATGTTATTTAATTATATAAATGAAGGTCATTTTAAAGTTAATTGATTTCTGAGAGCAGTTGATTAGCACATATGCACACTTCTGAGATAACAAATCATAAACCAGGTATACATAACAAGTTTTGTTTACAATTACAGTGTGGATATCACTATTGTCGATTGTTTTGATCCCAGGGTTATCACCAGCTCGGGATTTCTGTGTTGTCTTCAAATATCATTTTTGAAAATTGTCTGTTTACAAAATTTTGAAATAGCAAAAACACTAAGGTTTAAACCCTCGGTCGAAGGTGGCCTAAATAAACTGGTAATTACGTTTACTTCCAATAGACTTACTTAAATAAACTGAAATTATTTCCTTGGCCAAAGTATGTCATGCCTCTTCCAAATTATCATATCTGTTAGGGAATGAACACTTGTGAAGATTTGAACATGTTTTAGTTTTTATTTCTTGCCATGACAATCATACATGAAATATGTTGAATATATGAGAATGTTATAACTAGCATAGTGTGATTCATTCACTTTGATTACTTAAGTGACCAAATTTTTGAGCATTGGTAATACCTCCTTCTATTGATTGTTCACAGGCGTTTGTTCTAGCTTTCTTTAACTTGTCGTGTATAGTTTTTTTTTTCTGAAAGAAATATTATTATATATTCTATTGATAGCACTTTTTAAGGATTTCTATATTTCTTCTCGTAACTGCTGTGCTTTCAATTTGATCTGCTAAATCTTTGTAAATTGAGTCTTTTCTTAAAGCTTTGAGAAATTCAATAAATCCTCGTTCATTTTTACGCAAAAGCATGTCCATTAAATTCCTGTTCTTTTCCTGTGGGGTTTTACCAGATTCTATCTTCTTCCCATCATCTACAGACACTACCTCTCTTGATATTAGATGATCTACTATGCTCTCATGTTGTATATCAGTAATAACCTTGAGATAATTCTTCTGTAGACGAACTTTATACAATGGAACATTCCAGTCTGATAAGCCTACAAAATATAAAAAGATTTGTTTCTCAAAAGGGACTAAAAATAAAAATAATAATCAGGCTTTGTGAATATTACAAATACATAGTTGATAGACATGTCTTTACAACAATGTCTAGCTAATGATTTAATTTTTCACAGGGAATGTTAGGTAGAAATCAAATTGTACAAATAATATTAACTTATATTTCTGAATTAGAACTATTAAACATATAGACAAAAAGATGAAGAGAAGTTGTGATCATACAGATAACCATTTTATGATCGGTTGCTGATTTGGGTATTTCTAATCCAAAAACTATTAGAAAATAACTAAACCAGTGTATTTGCGCCATAAATGATCAAGACTCCTTTCTGTTATCATAATGAACAGATAATTCTTTAATTACCTTTTAACAGTAACACCAACATTGAATAGAAATCTAAGACAATACAACTGTGTTTGCCCAGTATGGCCATATTTGAATCCTGTCTTTGAAGGAAGATGCCAAATGGGAAATAAAAATTGATGCCAAGGTAATAAAATCATCATTGGTACCAGGATTAAAATTGTGTAAGCCAAACACACATTTTGTCTTAAATAAACTGTTATCACAGAGATATATCTCGCCTTTTTGTAATTTTGATTATGCAAATGTTGAAATTAAAATAGCAATACTTTAACATGTTACATAAGTTATGCAAATATTCAAAGGCAATGAACCATGACTGAGGTACATGGCTAAACAATCTCCATGTGAATGAGATGTGCCAATGCTAATACAACTGCATACCAAATACCATTGACTTATTATAAGTCGTTCCCTTTAAACAAACCTAAACACAAACATGAACTTATAAACTAAGTCAATGAACCATGAAGAAGGGGTGGGCCAATATAATCTCCATGGAATTGATTCTTGCAAATGCCAAAAAATTTGCATACCAAATATCATTGACTTCACATAAGCAGTTCATCTTAAACTGATCTAATCTCAAATTAATACATGTAAACTAAGAAAAAATTTCAAAGTCGATAGACCATGACTGAGGGGGCGGGGCCAAATATTCTCCATGGAAACGAGATGTGCTAATGCTTATACAACTGAATATCAATTAACATTGGCCTACCACTAATGGTTTTCCTTGAACTGACCTAATCACAAACTAATACATGTTAACTTAGCAAAATTTTCAAAGTCAATAGACCATGACTAAGGGGGCGGAGCCAAATATTCTCCATGGAAATGAGATGTGCCAATGCTTATACAACTGCATACCAAATATCATTGTTTAATGTCCTGAAATGTACGAAAGTTTTGAATGTTTTTCATTAACACGGAGACATGCTGGATAGTTAGCAGAAGCATTCTGATTATTTTGAAACATATTGTCCTCATGTGTTTTGACTTAATATACCTCAATGTGAGCCCATAATTACGAACATTTATTTCTCACCAATGCAGTAAACCTACTTGGCCTATGTATGCAAAAATTATCAAGATAGATTATACCTTCATTCTCAGCGGGTACTAGTGCTGCACTTGGGCTTATTTCCTGTGAATCACATTTCAAATCATTTGCGAGCTCTTCATATCCATAGGTATTTAATCCGTCAACAAATACACCATACGCAGGTTCTCTTCTTTTATTCACAATATCCAGCAATGCTTTGTTCTGATCATCTTGTCCCGCATGTTGTTCAATACGGCGTCTGTCATCTACTGATATCACCAATTGTGTCATCATATGATCCAAAATCTGGCTGGTTTGTATTTCTTGTATTATTCTGTCTGCATTATCTCTGATTCTATCTGTAATCATAAAGATTGAATATTCATAAGATCATTACTGTATGACTGTTTTACATATGGTATGTAATGTCAAAGTATACGTAAATAAGGATATAAATAGTTTTTCAAGACTGTCTACGTGTAATTAAATTTAGATATGAAACTAACGGAAAATTAAAACCTTGATAATTAATTCTAAGATGCCAAAAAGAGGAATTTAAATTGTGATTCAAGAGCGGTTAGGTTTCAAATGTATCTTTGTTTTCAGACAGCCATTGAACTATCAAAATGAGGTCAATAAAAATAGACATATGCAAGACAGAAACATCCTAACATACGGCATCTGCATATAAGGTGTAACATTGTAAGCATCTAGGTCTTCTACCTTCTTAAAAACAAAGCTTTATACAAAAAGTTTACGTTGCCACTACGCATAGAAATGCATGTGTTTTTTTATTCTGCAACTATCATCAATTGCAGCTAAACAACAATTAGTTACTGATTGTTTTGTTGTTATTGGAAAAGTACTGTTTTAGATACAATGTTATTTGTCGTATAAAACTTCAGTAAGAAATCGTCCATCTACCTTCCATATCAAGAGAATTACACTAAAATACCAATAAAACCAAAAGAAGACGAAATAAAAATGAAAACAACGTTCTGCCTTTCAATACTTGTGTTGTCTGTTTTCATAAGACATGATTTTCGATTGGCTCGTTGTAACTCTTTGTTAAAAGAAATAAATCATCTTTGGCAAAAAAAACTTATATCAAGTTTTAATGGCTGTCTCTAGACATTTTTTTAGGTGTTGGCATAAGTGATCAATGAAAACGAGAAAAGCGAACATGTAAAACTATTTACAAATTAGCTGGATCAAAGCAACGACTATGCTTTAATTTGCTATTAAGAGTTTATGTATCTAAAAAGTCTGCTTTTCCTTTTTATCTTAATTATTTTAAAAGCGAAAGCCAAAATCGGATCAAATCATAAAAATCATCATATTTAAGGGCATTTAATCATATGAGTTAGGCAGTTGTGGTCAAAACAAATAATATGTATATATATTGATTTTGAACATTGTTATTCAAATCAGAACATTTTTTTTATCTATACTGGTTTACAAGAAACTAGACTTTACATGTATTCTACTCCCTGTTTATATTTTTAGCTTTGGTAGCCATGTTGGCTTGCAGGTAGCAATTTCTATTGATGAGTATCGTAAAGTTAACTTTCAATTGCTTTAGCTGTTTCTAAGAAGCAGATTTTACACAAATATATCATGCTTACAAGGAGTATTTGCCAAAAATACCGGTTGAGAGGTATAAAATTCCAGAGCCGTTAGGCTAGGGAAATTTAACTACATTGAAACCGGTATTTTTGCCAAATACCACCTGTAAGCATGATATAATTGTTTAATTCCACCGAATGTTCTTTGTATCCATCTTGACCTCAGAAGGTATACTGTAATCAGGTATCATATGGAGTTTCTACTTGAATGTATAATTGTTGTATATATACTGCAGCTGTGCTATTTGCGTAATCAAATTGCAATGGCCGCGTATAATCATTTCTGATCATTTTTTTATGTACAGTACCTCCCTGTTTATGATAAGCTGGTTCTCGGCTGACTACTGCAATTTGTTCATCAGTTTGAGTAAAGTGTAATACAAGCCAATTCCAGTTTATGTTTATGACCGGTTGACAATGTGTTTCCGTTGAGTTTCATATATGACATCATTAAAAGTACATGTTCACGGAATTTTTACGTCATTCGCTCCAAATTCAATAATGATGTTTTTATCCTTAATATTTCATTTGGAACCATATATTAAGAATGACCATAAATTTGTCCAATTAGAATAGAAATAATTTATTGGGCTTTTTTTAGACATGGTATTACCCATCTGTCATGGTATTTGCTAGCAAATACCCCGGCACATGGAATTCCCTAATGACAAATACCCTGGCAGAGAAAAGAAAATCTCAATACATAGAAATTGGTGAAAAATACCATGTCTCTCATCCAATCAAAATACAGCATTATTACATAAGGTGGAATTAATGCTAAAATAATCTCACAATAGGGACAAAATAACGTGAAAACCTTTCTGACATAGTTGATCTAAAAAAGAATAGGCCCATACGAGCTCGAATTGCATGGATTTTAACAAGAGTGCACACGCTGAAATGTCTCGCCTTCTTTACTAACCATTGATTTTATGTTGATAGTACATGTACTAAATATAAAGCTTTACTACAAGTAACACATGAACTTAACATGATCCAAGAAAATGAGGTCAAGGTCAGATAAACCAAACGAGAAATACATGTACACCTTACAATCATTCAATAAACCAAACATAGTTGACCTATTGCTTATAGTTTCTAAGAAACAGTCTTAACCAAGAAAACTTAACATTGACCAATGAACCATGAAAATGAGGTCAAGGTCAAATGAACCATGCCAGACAGACATGTACACCTTACAATCAATTTATGCATTAAATATAGTTGATCTATTGCTTGAAGTACCTAAGAAACAAACTTAACCATGAAAACTTAACACTGACCAATGAACCATGAATATGAGGTCAAGGTCAGATGATACCTGCCAGAAACACATATACACCTTACAAACCTTACAATCAATTTATGCATTAAATATAGTTGACATATTGCTTATAGTACCTAAGAAACAAACTTAACCATGAAAACTTAACACTGACCAATAAACCGTGAAAATGATGTCAAGGTCAAGACTGCCACCGCCAGATCACTATCCCTATGTCGAGCTTTCTGCAACAAAAGTCGCAGGCTCGACAAAAATATGCTGTTTTGATTTGTGATTTTAATATTTCATTCACTTATATTTCCTTATTTATAGGATCATTAAGTGGCAATTGTTTGTAACTTGTATTGATGATAATGTTTACTGTTTCTACCTTTTTATTTCACTTTATAGCTTTGGAGATGAGTTGTAATAAATTGCTTCGCTGAGCGCAGGTGGATACGCCCGCAGAGGTCCAACCCTGAACAGTTGGGGCAAAAATGGACACAATATTCAAGCTTGATACAGGTCTGAATCTGGATTGTAATTATATATTTGACATCTTATAGGTTTCTGAATAAATGTAGTCAAAGAACTTGAAATTGGTTATTAAGATTTCTTGCTGTTGTGCAATACACTGTGCTGTTGTGCAATACTTAGTAAATCTGTTGTCAGACTATAAACAAATAAAGTTCAATTTCTTCTCAATGTCATATTTAAATTTATAAAAATCAATAGGGAGATTACATCAATAGCTATAAATAATTCACCAAAGTTTCATGAGAACTGCTGAAAGCATTTTTGAGTTATTGTCCAAAAACTGGAAAATCCCCCCTTTTTTAATGAATAAAACCCCAGAACTCAGAAATGTAAAATCTAAAATTTTTTAAATTTTAAAGGGAGCTTAAAACAACACATATTAACAATTCACCAAAGTTTCATGAGAACTGCTGAAAGCATTTTTTAGTTATTGTCTGAAAACTGGAAAATCCCCCTTTTATTATGAATTAAACCCTGTAACTCGGAAACGTTAAATCTTAAATTTATAAAAATCCAAAAGGGAGCTCATGTAAATAGATATAAACAATTCATCAAAATGTCTTGCAAGTTGGTGAAAGCATTCTTGAGTTATTGTCAGAAAACTGGAAAATCACCCCTTTTTTAATGAAGAAAACCCCAAACTCGGAAACGGTAAATCTGAAATTTATAGAAAATGAAAGGGAGCTCACGTCAATAGATATAAACAATTCACCAAAGTTTCATGCATATTGGTTAAAGCTTTTTTGAGTTAATGTCCGACATGTTGACGACTGACGGACGGTACGACAGACAGTCAACGGTATACCATAATATGTCCAGTAAACGGGCGTATAAAAAGTCAGAAATTAGTTAAGAATCATGATTTAATGTTCATTACTGCTTACAGAATCCTCAGATGAGTTTGGTCATATTGATGTATTTGTATTGCTAATCATGTATGCTGTTTACGGTTTCTAACTATCTTTCATAATATAGTTTTCAAGGTGAAAGGCAAAAATACGAAAAAGAGTCAAAAGACATCTTCTAAAGGCACCAGCTCCTGTGAAGTATCATCAAACGGTTTTCTTACCAGTGACATCTTTATAGATCTTGTACTTCTGAAAATGTGTCTATTTACATAATATCTGTTGTTGTATTATGAAACAAATAAGAAAACTATTAAAACCTAAGGGCAATAACTCTTTAAAGAGTCATCTTATATTGGTTAAATATGAAGTAAGTCTATTGACATTCCGGGCAGATTTTCTCAATCTATTGAGGATTTCAATGTATACAAAAACAAATGAATTTTACTCTTACAATCTATTCGAATGACAAGTCATGTCCGTTTGATTGACAAGATTAAATAAAATGCTTCGCTGAGCGCAGCCTGATACGACCACAGAGGTCGAACCCTGAACAGTTGGTGAAAGTTTGGACAAAATATATATTCAAGCTTGACACTGTCTGAATTTGGATTGTAATAAAATTTTTGACATAATATAGGTTTCTGACACAAAATAAATGTGGTGAAAGATCTAAAAATTTGAAATGGGTTAAATAATATGTATTTTATTTCAATTGAGGATTTCTTGCTTTTGCGCAATACTGTGATATTGAAGATTTCTTACTATTGTGCAATACTGTGCAATTGAAGATTTCTTGCTAATTTATATATCAATCAGAAATAATCAATGTAAAAATGGAAAATTCTAAGAAGAAAAAAAAAAATTATGAAACCCCCCCACCCCCCCCCCCCCCAAATTTTTTTTGAGTAATGACCTCTAAACTCAATCTCTGTCTTTCCTTTAGTGGAATGGTACCTTGCTGTACAATTTCAGAGAAATCCCTACACTTGAACACAAGTTATTATCTGGAATCTAGAAAAATGCTTGTTTTTGGCCCCTAATTTCTAAACGTTTGGGGCAATCACCCTCTTCCTCAATCCCAGCTT